CACACACACACACACACACACACACACACAAAGGATAGGTGCAGGGAGAATGGCACGGCCTGTGAGCGTAGCACGCCGCCGGTGTACACACCCCATAGAGCACCGCAGAAGACATTGCCCATGTCCACACATACATACCCATGTGCTTGCGCACTGGTCCCAAATATAGATGTACACGGTTAGACATCGCAGGTTACACTCAAGACGCATGTGCGCCCTCGGAGCTGCTCGGAACGTGGGCCCCCTTGCTGGATCCAGCCCCGGGGTTTGGCTAGAGGAGGACGCGGATTATGCGGGAGAGGAGAGAGAGAGAGAGAGAGGGAGGGGGGGAGGGAAAAAAGACACTGTGCGAGTCGGAAAAGTCTAGTTTTTATTATCAGGCTATGTGAGGGGAAGGAATAAGGACACAATGTAGTGCGAGGGAAAAGATGAAAGGAAAGGAGACGTGTGATAAAGGGGGAGAGAGGTTGGGGGGAGCCGTTCCAAAGAGGGGGGGGGGAGGGGGGGCGCAGGGGGAGGACGATCCCCCTCCTGCCCATTTAGGTCCAGACATCCTCGAAGTAGCGGGCGTCACTGCGAAGCTTCTTGACAAAGTTCACGGCATCCTCCTCGGTCAAGCCCCCGAGGTCGCGGGCGATGTCGACAAACTTGCGGTTGACATCGCGAGCCATGTTCTTGGCATCGCCACACACATAGATGAGGGCATTGCGCTGGATGAGATCCCACACGCGCTCGCGGTGGACCTCCAGCAGATGCTGCACATACTTGTGCTGAGTGCCGGGCACGCGCGAGAAGCAGACATGCAGCTCCAGGAGGCCGGACTCCTCGGCCGCGCGGAACTCCTCCTCATAGAGGAACTCCTCCGGGAAACGGGCGCCAAAGAAGAGAACCGTATCGCCGACCTCGCGATTGAGATTGTCACGCTGGTACAGGCGCTCCTGGACAAACCCACGGAAGGGAGCCACACCGGTGCCAGGGCCAATCATCAGAACCGGACGGGTGGAGAGAGCCGGCAGCTTGAAGGAGGAGCTCCGAATGAAAACCGGCATGGTGGGGAAGGCCACCGAGGCGGGATCGCCAGCGGCCACCGCAGCCTCGAAGGCGGGCTTGATGTTGGCAAACATGCCGGTGGCCACACCGGTCACCTGGCGCCCGGTGTTGGTGGTGAACTCCGTCAGAGAGGCGCAAATGGCCACGGTATCCGGGCTGACCCGGCTCGAGGTGGCGATCGAGTAGTAACGGCACTGCAGACGGGGCAGCAGTTCCAGGATCAGGTCCACCGGCGGCCGAATGTCCGGGTACTGCAGGAGAATGTCGGCCAGCGACCGGTAGTCCACATTCAGATAGCGGTTGAGCTCCTCCTTGCTCTCGGGCGAGAGGAGGGCCTGGAGGTGCCCACGCGAGGGGGACCCCTCGGGAGCCGACTGAACCAGGGCCTGGATGATGTGCGTGCGCGGGGGGGTCACAATGTCCAGGTAGTGGGTGAAGGCCGTGCGGTAGGTAGTCGGGCAGGGGAAGGGAGACTGCTTGGGAGAGGAGGCTGCGGCGCGGGAGGCAGGGGGGGGGGGAGGGCGCGCATGCCAATCGTCACACATGTCGACATGGCAACGAACCCCCTTGCTCTCTCCCCTTGCCGGAGTCGCGGAGTCCAGAGACCCGGCCAGAGGGGCCCACCATCATCGTGGAGGGAATACCACGGCGGTGGGCCCAGGGTGCAGGGACGCCGTGCCACATGGTGCCGGTGTGGCACCATGTTCCGCATTCGGCCCAGAGAGGGAACGCCACCGGGAGGACGCAATGTAGAGAGAGAGAGAGAGCTTCTGCCGTCCGCCGTTCCGGACTTCTCCCCCCGCTCCTGCGTGATGATGCACATTCGCATGGATGCCTCTCTACAACAGGGAGGGCGTGGAGAGAGAGAGAGAGAGAGAGATGAGGGAAGAGCAGCACCGGCAAAGCTGGCCCGCCAAGATGCTGCATGCCCTGGCCCTCCTCTGGAGTGGTGGCAGTGGGGGGGGGGGGGGGGGGGGGGGGGGGGGGGGGGGGGGAGCACCTGGTCCCCCTCCTGCTCCGGGTCCCATCTCATGGCCAGGGGATGGGGGGAGCTCCCCCCCTTTGTCGACCAGCC